GCATCTATAACCAAAATCATCCTTAATTATCTCTCACATTGTTTTCAAAATTAGCAGCAGAACCAAAGTGCAGGGCAGAGGAAAAAAAAGAGTCAAAACCATGCCAGTGGACTGAAGTACTCCTGCAAGACATCATCGGCTCCAAATCCACAGTCCTATCCATGCACTCCCAGCCCTAAATCTGAGCTGACTGCTGCTCCAGCGTGCTTTGAAGGCCTAGCACAGGCCCACAGATGGCTGGAACTGAGGCAGATGCAGTCACATTCTTGGCAAGTCTTCTCAGGGTCATCTTTGATGTGGAGAAGTGCTTGGTATTGTTTTCTGCATTGATGTTTGCCCCTGGTATGTGGAAGGAAATGTCCTTGTGCACGGCAGCCCCTTGGTCTGGCCTCGTGGCTTGCAACCTGCTGCCTGGACAGCACTGCCTCTTTGGAGGTCCTTCTGCTACACACTAAAAGGGCTCCTTAGCTCCTCTGCTGTTTCTTAGTTACCCACATAGCATAAGTGTTGTCCCCCCATCCCTTCCCAATGCATGCAAGCAACAGATTCCATTTCTGTCACTTGCCTGGCAAGATATTGCAGCCTTTGGATATAGGAACACAAAATTCTTTCTGAAAGAGGATTATAGTTACATTCTCCCTAAGTCAAACCAAGGGCAAAAACTGCTCAGAGGGACGTCAGATCTCTGACCAAACTTTTAGATCCTCAAATGATGATTACAAGGGGCACAACTTTTACCAAAACCAGATCTTGGTGCCCTACCATTTGTGATGACACAGGCCTTAATTCTTAGTAATTAATTGTTTTATTATTTTCATCACTGCTTCTACTAAGCCAATGGTTGGTCTGCACTCAGCACCCATGCCAAAAATTACATGAGCCATAGTTCAGGTTGCTTATGCAGACCAGCAGGCCAACCAACAACTCAACTTGTGCTCCACAGGTGCCTCATTCAAGATGAGGCAGCTCAAAGTAAAAAACCACCGGGCTCCCACCTGTGGGAAGACAATCACCTGTCCCACTCTCTTCATAAACAGTTTGAAGAAAATTCCCTCCTTGGCTGCTACCATTACACTTCCTTAGGGCAGAAATGCCAATACAAAAGAAAGCTGACCTCCGTCACCCACTGGGAACATCTCCAGCAGCCTCCTCTTGGTTGCTAATGTCACCAGAGGACAGCAGATGAGGAAGTAGGTGTAATCCTCATACAAAATGGCATTATTTCATATGGCTCATAACTGTGCTTCCAAACTAAACACCATTTCTTGCGTACAGCTTCCAAGCTGCTGCCTTTTTCAGGGTTCCCACGGATAGGCTAGAAGACCCCTTCCAGCAGCCCAGATGCTTTGGTAGCAGGTACATCTCATGTGGCTTTCAGCATTTTTTTCCAGCATGTTGTGGAGGTGATTTCCTGAGCTTCCAGCAGTTCTGCCTCAAATTATAGGACACAAGGGCAAGAGGGAAAAGTGGCAGAAGAATCTCAAAACAACTGTTTATCAGTAAAAATTTCCTGGGGGGCTCCAGAAAACTCTTAGCACCACTGCCAAGTGCAGAAGATCACACCCCCACATCCTGTCTGCAGAGAGATGGTGACACAGACACAGGGATTCAATGCTGGGTGGCTGGCATGCTTCAGCCTTCATGTGCCTCTGCTGCTGACCTCTAGCCAGACCTCCCCTCCCAGCTCCCCCTGACCCTACAAAATGCTGTCAGGGAGCCTAGCCCTTGATTTCACTTCTTCCCCCAAAAACAGAGACCTCCACCCCATACCTGTAGCTGACCTACACCCTACATGCCCCAGTGCTCTTTGCCTCAAAGGTGTCATGACCCTCGACCAGGCTGTGGGTTTAATGGCATGCAGCCTGAGAACTGCCCAGTTGCAGGTTCTCATCCTTTTTCATTCACTCGTGGCTCTGGCTTGTATTTACTCCTTTTTTTCCAGCCCTGGCCAGGGCAGGAAATGTCACTGCTGGCAGCAATTTAACCCGGCTGACTTCAGCGCTCGTCCATGACTTAGGAGAGTGATTTGGGGACAGGCAGATTTCCATCTCCTGAAGGCACGGGCAGGAAGGTCAGGGAGAAAGCACCCAGCACCAGCACAGGACAGAGAGAAGCACTGGAGGCCCCCAGCCCCTTGCAGCCAACCTCAGAGGCAGGGCACATCTCTAGCATCCTGTATAGATCTGCTGTTCAGAACAGATCTAGAAAATATTGTACTTTTTGGGTCCAAAGAAGGGAATTTGAGGGGTGAAGACTAGATCATTGAAATTGTGGGGTTTATAGAGTTTGAAAAAAGTCTGTGCTTTCTCTCAAAACCATACAGCTTTCTCTCTGTTGTGTATTTCAGCACAGTGGTACAGCTTTTGATCCATTCAAGGCTGGATTTAAAGTTATTTTCTACCATTCTGGCTCAGAAAGCAAGTGTACTTGCAGCTTTTCAGTATTCTCTTGTCCTTTACCCCCTTATTCCCAAACTCATGCAAGAACAATATCCTTCTAAATGCAACTCCCTAATGAAGATGTGAAAATACCTAGGATCATTAAAAAGCCATCAAGGCCATTGCACTGTAGAGTGCTCTTTGCTCTCCTGATAGTATCCCAGGAAAATACACAGCTGGGCATGGAAGTTGTTTGTATTTCTCCTCCCGAAGATTTTCAGTTAAACGTTTTTAACTTACTTGTCACAAAGCACATTAAAAGTAAAACTAATTTGCATTCCTTTGGACATTTTTTCATAAAGAAGAATGAAGATTTATCCCCCAGTTAATCCCTGGTACATGCAGTCATTCCACTACAACTCCTGAGTAAAAATAATAAGGAAGAAAAGTCAATGGAGTCATTATAGAGAGCTCAGCAAAGCTAGGCTAATCTATATGTAATGTGGGAAGCCCCAAAACACAACCACAGAGCAGCAGGCATAAAAACATCAGCTTTTAAACCCATGTCTTGGATTTCCCATTGTGTCTTGCAGAAACATGATGTTAGATTCCCACTGAAAGAGATTAAAATACTACAGAAAAGATTATTATTCCTTCTACTGCTGAAGCTTAGGTATTCAACAGCAGGGACTTTTGTTACTGCTTGGAAAAGTCAATCCGTTGTAGGATTTCCAGTGTAACTTGTGAAATTGAAGTGGAAAGTAGAACAACTGTGATTGTCCACAGCATGTGAGCTATTTCTGCAGCTGCGTGGGACTCTGGGTAGCTTTCACACTCAAGCAATTAATTCCAGGGTTGAAGGCAACTCTACACTCAAGGATCATCAAAAGGGAAAGAGAAATCACAACGCCACCTCAGGTTCACGACTGATTTGTAACAGATGCAGGGACCGCAGCCCTCGTGGTCCTGTGTCAAGTCTGGAGACGTTTTGATGAATTCTGAGCAGACGGAGCATAAACACAATCCCTCACCCATGCATGTTTACTGCCTATCAAGTAATTGCACTGTACAGGGGCTTTAATGGCCAGACCTCCCACCCGAATATTTCATCCACACTCTACAGCAGTGAAAACCCAATCCCCTGACCACAAAAGCTGCCACAACAACAAAACAAGGGCCACCAAATCTGAAACCCCAACCAACAGTCAACAGGTTTGGCCAGTGGCCTGGCACAGACATCACATTTCATCTGCGACCACCCCTCCCTTCCACCAGAACAGCATCCCTAAGGCTGAAAGTTTTTGTGATCTCGTAAGAGTGACCCCACATGTCACACACAGAACTCCACGCACACATCCTCAACCAGCAGCACATTAATCTAACTTGAGAGTCGTCTCTATTTGGTGGGAGTCAAGGTCACCAAGGACCTAAACTTGTCACTGATAACTTAAAACTCACTCCTGGAGTCTGGGTATTTTAGTTAAGAAATTCCTTCCTTCATACATGTTCAGGCCTATTGCTGGCTGTTAGCCTCATTTATCTTCAAGAAAAACTAATATGGAAGCAGCCTTATTTTTTTCCCTAGGCTCAAAGACAGTATTTTAATATTATCCCCGTAAGTCAAAGAAATTTGACTGATTATCTCATTTAAGGATGCTGTTTGTGCTGCCTACAGAACTGCATTCTGCTTCTAATAGTATCTGAATAGTTTTTTGGGGTTTTGCCCTGGAACTTGGTGTGATTCAAACTCCTGCCTGCTCTTTCAGCCTCACGTTTTATTACTCCATAACCAGGTAGAGAGAAAGTAAACGTCTCTCTGCCCAATTAAATTATTATAATAAATCTTCCACAGCCCACAGGAAATGAGCTGAGTTTGTTAAAAGGAAATCACTGGTATTTGTTATCTTACATAATCACTTCAAGGGGATTATTGACTGTTCCCTATACCATACAACTCAGACTAAAATTAAAAACAAATCTCATGGCAAAAAAGCAGTCACCCCACTTAAACAGCTCCAAAGTGATTTATATGAAGAGAGAGGTAAACATTTAAGTGACCAGCACATCGCAGCTGTTTCATCCCCCCAAAAAGTGACTTTACTATAAAAGTCTGAGGTCTAACTTGTGCTGCATGTGTGGCACCAAGTACAAATGGCTTCTGCCCTGTGCAGACAGTTCTAGCTTACTGTTATCACAGAAGTGCTGCTTGTTCATGTGAACTGCCTCTCCCCCTGCCCTGCAGCGAGGAGCGAATCATCAGCTGCTCCATAATAGATACCTGTAGCATCCCTGACTCACTGTAATTTAAAGGCAATATTAAGAAGATATGGCCATTACACAAGCAAACTTGGTTATTTCCACTGCAGAAGGTATTTAATTTCCTGCTGTTGTTGTTCCCTAGACAGGAGGAAAGCATCCAGCTGGGGAATTGGGCTGCAGCACCGGGCAGCGATGTCCTCAGAATGTGACTCTACCACGCAACAGCCCAGCCTACATAGATGGAGCTGGGTCCGTCTGTAGCGCTCAACCACCACCACCTTTAGGTACAGTACAACAGGGAGAGATGCTGCCCATCACGGGTCCAAGGGACACGGGGACGAGCAGTCAGGGGACGGAGCTCACCGCAGACACTTTGCTGATGACATCCCTGGCGACGGCCAGGCCCTGCGCGAAGGTGCGGGCGGCCACGAAGGCTCGCGTCACTTGCAGCTTGAGCTTGCGCGGCACATCCCCGAAGGGCTTCAGCTGCTCCGTGTACTTGCTGACACACTCCAGGTACTCGTCCGTGAAGTGGTACTGGGGGTTGACCAGCCGGAACATGCGCTCCAGCAGGCGCGCCCAGAACTCGTTGAGCATCTCCTCCAGGTTGACGTTGCCGCCCACGTAGTAGCGCTTCAGCTCCACAAAGAGGTCCTTGAAGAGCTCCGAGTTCTGCATGTACAGTCGGCCGTACGTCCGCACAAACATGTCATTCAGAGACTTCTCAGCGTTCTCCAGGAGCTCTTTGAAGAACTCTAGGAAAGAGAGAGAGAAGATATGGTAAACATGGGCACTGGGTTGCATGTTCACACACTCCTATGACCACTGCTCAACTGGAGGATTGGCATCATCAAGCTGAAATGGAAAATTAAAGGACTCCCCTAGAAATTTGCATCTATGTCTGTATCTCAAAATTTTTGATTACTCATCATAAACCAATCCCCAAATCTCTCTGTAGACTGAAAGACTTGTATGAATGAAATCTCTCCTGATACAAATATGAATATCATGATTAAGAGTCAGCAAGAACCAATAAAAAGCACAAAAGTTTCTGATGTTCCCATTTAGGCATCTCAAAAGATGTAATTTCAAAGAACAACATATTGGAAAGAAAAAAGGTGGTTTTGTTAAACAGATGTTTTGCACAAATGAATCCTTCTTTCCAGTTCTTGACAATTCATTTTCCAAGATTATCATAAACCAGCCTCAAAATTGAACAAATTTTAATATATTTAACAACAAATTTAAAAATCTACCTGCAGGTTCTTTCTCCCATCCTTCAAGTTCATCATCTCTCAGGGCAAGGCCTGACCACTTGCCCAATTGGTCCTGATTGCAGAAGGGGCTTCAGACGTTTGTGGCAGTGCAAACACACCCCCCCCCCCAATTATACTGAAATTTGCTTAAAATCTAAGGACTAAACACTTGGCACAATAACAAAAGATTTTTCAAATTACAAAGGACAGATAGGGTTTGTGATTTTTATCACTTTCTAAAAGCAAATCCCCACTTTGGTTCACTCTCTAGGAGCACTGGACAGCCCAGAGTGGCTGCTGCCATGTCTTAGCAGTGCCACATGTGTCTCCAACACTGATAACAAGTTGACCCAATGATGATACCACTGCAGAAGCAGTTTGAAGAACACTTCCTCCAAGAACACATCACCACAACCTTGACACGTGGGTGTAAGCACAAACTACCCTGCCACAATGCCTTTGCCTTGGAGACTTGGCATAGATGAGATAAAATAAAAAACAGGGGAGGGGTCCACTAGGCCAAAAGCATTTGTGGCACTTTGGAAAAAACTCTCTGCTCTATGGCCTTGGGGGCAGCTAAGGAGAGCAAGGTAGGTGCCACTGGGACAAAGCTTCCCATGCCTGTTTGCTCCAGCCCTGCAGGGAGCACAGGCACCCTGGGGAGTGGGCACAGCCGGGAGAGGAAGCAGATTATTTTATGCATGCCACCAGCAATTGAGGATTCTGACCTCTGCTTTTCTGTGACTCATATTCAAAAAATATTTTCTAATAAAACATGCCTCTGTGGTTTTCCAAATCCACAAAGGAGCAATGCTTAGAGCTAGAAGTTGTTATAAAGGGGGGGGGTGTGTGTAATATTTTGGCCCAGTGCAAATTTAAACCTTGTTAAAAGACATTAAAAGTATGCTGAAGTTCAGATTTTCGTCTTCAAAGTGCTCCAGTACAAACAAAGCCTAACACAGAAAACATTTTCTGGAAAAACTGAAACATTCCATGAGTTCCTGATGAACAAAGTCATGGGGTTCAGTGCCTGACATGGCTGTATATAATGCAGCCTCTTAGGAGCACAAGAGAAATGATCCAGGGAAGAGGAGATTGATTTCAAACACCCAACACATCCTCTGTCCAATATCAGCAGGAACCTCCACTTTCGTTCCCATGACTGGCATTTCCTGTCCAGGAAGATTTTTTTCTGTTCAGTTTATACTATAGAGATTAGCTTGGTGTATATTAATTTCTAATTCACTTAATCATTTTGAAGGCTTACTTCCTTCCTTTGCTCAGACCTTTTAGTATCACCAAGTAAGTTCTTTATTTAAATACTTCTGTACCAGGCACAAAACCAGCTAGATGTGTCAGCAAACTCTTCAAAAAGAATTAGATTTTTGAAATTATACTGATGGCAAATCTATCAGATAGCTCCAACCGTCAGTCTAAAGAACCTAAAGCAATGTTATAAGCCAAGAATGTTATCTTAAGTAATACACCCATATTACCATAATCTATTTATTCTCCTGCCCAACTCATTTTATTGGTTACACTCCAAAGTGGAAGTTTAATAAACCGTAACCAGACTTTAGAGCTCTTCATCTCTTAACAATTTTTCATGTGGGCTAGAACCAGGCATGTTCATTAATTATTATGAAAAAAACCTGCAATCTAATTAGCAGCAAATACCTGTGCACCTATAGCCTTCCGGCCAGCAGCTTTTCCTTGCCCAAAAGGAAGGTAAATAAAGGAAA